TATATATATATATATATATAATTTTAATGGCTTTAAGCATTATTAACCTCCTCTTCCTCGGGATCTTGTTGAAGACCCTCCGCCTCTTGATCCCCATTGTTGTTGCTGTTGATACTGTTCCTTTGAAAGTGCTACTTTAATTTCACACTAAAAAAAAAAAAAACATGTTTAGTAAAAAACAGAAGGCATACATACACCTACCTAATAACCCCTTATTCACCTTTCTTGCCTACAAAAGGAATTCCTTACTTGTACAGCATGGCAAATATGTTATATTCTTCATGAAAACTATATTTAGGACACTACTTAAGGGAATTTCTAGATTAATATTGAACAGTAAATGCCAACTTCAAATGAACAGCAAGAAGCCATAACTTCTGTGCTGTCCATAGAATCGGCAGCACTATATAATTTTTAACAATCATCTTTCTTTAGGGTTTTTTCTGTTTATTTTACTCTTGCTCTGGCCTGCTGATCCCTGGCAAATGTATACAAGCTAGGAGCATAAGCCTTGGCATTTGTCACTATGCTCCCTCCAGGAATCCCAGAAAACAAATGATTTTCAAGGCGCTGGGAACTCCAGAGAAACCTTGGCTCCCTTCTTAAATCACAAAGTAAACCACCATAATATGTATAATACCCAATATGAAGAAACAGGTCTTCCTTCAATCCACTGCACTGCCACAGCCTGTACACAGCCCACTGTGTCCCATGTTCCTCTATTTGCAAAACTGAGCAGTGATTATGATATTATGTGCTTCACTCCAAGTGACTTAATGACCTCTCTGCAACCTAATTATTTAATGTATTTTTTTTAACAAAAAAGCCGTTTTTAAATGAATAAAAATTTCCCAATAAGAATTAGGCAAGCACATGTCAAAGACCAAGCTGATGGTGTGAATGTATATAGGCTCCACAGATAGAAAGCTGAAAAAGCACTATGGGGATGTGCATAGGAAAATCCAAATTAAATCCAGGACCAATCGAAGGGATGGGGAAAAAGCACCTCTGGCAAACGAACGTTAGAAAGAATAAAGTTAAAGCCTGGGCTTGCCAGTCCCACACAGAGCTTGCGCGCAACGGGGGGAGGGGACCTATACTTAACTTTTTCCAGCTGCCCTGGTTCAGTCACGTCACAGGTCCTCTATTCTCGTGTGGTGCTGCCCTCAATAGAATTCCCCTATGAGTTCAGGGTGTGAGGTGGAGCTCCTGGGCTCACAGGCACTAGGTTAAATGAAGCTGGGTGCATCGCTGGATTTGCAAGTCTGGGGGATAGTGCCAGAAATTCGGAGAGTATGGCAGCTGGAGCCGCTCTTATTTTGCAAAACAGAAAAATGGTCACCAGCACTCCAGGTTTTCTTCAAAACAAAATCCTTTTATTCATTCATGCAGCAGGCCATGCGTGGCAACCTGACCGGTCCCTTCATCAGGCAAACAAAAATGTATCACTTTTGTTTGCCTGATGAAGGCGGCGCCATCCACGGCCATTTCAGCACCCACCCCCCACATTGTATGGGGCTCATCGGTCAGGAGTGCGGTGAGACTATTTGGCTCTTTTATTTTGGGCTACATTGGGGTCTGAAATATTTGACATTTTGCCTCAAGCCTGACTTGGGCTTTAAACAGCTGTTTTATTTATAGATGGAACATTCTTTCCTGGATTGCACTCTGTCCTTGCATCTTTGAAATAATTCTATTACAGCTTCTCAAATGCAGCAAACCCCAAAGCTCTCTGATTTTTTTTTTTTTGCAGGGAGAAACAAGCTTCCTGACAACTTCCTTTCTTTCTACAAGGAGACTGCACAGGGACAGCTAAACCATGCTGATGTGGTCACAGGAAAACCCAAGACTTGAGACCAGGCTGTCAAATAGCACTACTAAAGTATCTTAAACATTTTCAGTTAACAGTTTGCCCTCTAGTACAACATACTTTACTTAAGCCAACATTATGGTATTTCTTTTCCATTATTTTTTTCACGGGCTCTTCTTCGTCAAATGTGATGAAGCAGAAACCTCGCCTTTTGTTAGTCTTGTTGTCCATGGGGAGTTCAATTGCTTCAACCTGAAGGATTTCAATTGTAAAGTGAAATAGACACAATTAAATGGTATATACATATATCTGTGCATGTCCAGCTCATCATACTCTTGTCTTTCATCAACTTATAAAGCATACAAAGTCTTTAAAACAGGAAAATATACCTCCCCAAACGTCCCGAAGTATTCCCTTATTTTATCTTCTGGTGTGTCTGGTGATAAACCGCCCACAAATATCTTCTTCACTGGTTCTTTTGTCTTCATTGCCTTTGCCCTTTTTGGATCGATGACTTTGCCGTTCAGTTTGTGCTCTTTTTGTTCCATAACCTGCGGGAATAACAAATCAGACTAAATGTCTCATTCAGATGTAATGAGGAGCATCAGCTGCCATTCGTTACACGACAGAAAAATCAGAAATAACGCTTAGGGCCTGTGCACATCATATGCAGTGCGTTCCAGCCAGAACGCACTGCGACCGGTTCAGTATTTCGTGGGGCCGGAGGGGGCTTGGCTGGCTATTGAAGTGAATGGCGCCGATAGCCACTCACATTGCGCCTGTGGTCTGGTGAAAATGCTGCAAGCGCTATTTTGAAAGCAGGCACAATGTGCACTGCAATCCCGGGCGGGCGATCGCATTGCGGCCGGAGGGAGTGGCTACGGCGCCATTCACTTCAATGGCCAGCCACGCCCCCTGCGGCCCCACGAAATACTGAGCCGGCTAGAACGCACTGCATATGGTGTGAACAGGCCCTTAATTCTACAACACCCAACTAAGGTCCCTACTGTGCTACTTCTGTGGTCCTCATTTGTCAGGTGAGCAGAACAGTTCTGTGTCTCTTGGGGGACCCTGGGTACATAGTGCTGGATTTAGCTTGGTAATAATAAATTAAACTGCCCAACCAGAACCATATGCATGAGCAGCATATGCTTTAATATGCAAGATGGTGCTTTACAAAACCCAAGTCACACAATGCAGCTTCCACCACTTGCCAAGCTTCCACCAATGTCAAGACTTGGGAAAGAGAACAGTAGAGAGATCGCAAAAGAGGAGAAAACATGCAGGAGTGCTTGTAAAACGTTTCCACATTTTACTGTCATAACACACTGAATCACAATGGATTTATTTTTACACTGATTTTTTTCATGCCTAAGGGGCTCACACGAGAACCATGGGCTGCATTGGGTGCAGCCCAGTGCATTGAGAACGTAAATTTGCTTTATGATCTATATCAGAGTTATACTTACCTGAACCGGCTGCCTGCTTCTCCGTTCTCTGAAGCATGTCTCCTATGCTGCAGAACTGGATGTTCCTCAGTGTACTCACATCTATACACTGTGTAATATGATTAACTCATGAATACTAGGATTAGTACATTACCTTGTCTACACCTTCAGACTCTTTGAACAATACAAAACCAAAGCCTCTGGAGCGGCCGGTGATTGGATCTAATTTCAAAGTGCAGTCTACAACTTCTCCAAATTTTGAAAAGTAATCCTTTAGATCTTTCTTTGTAGTGTCCCAGAGAAATGTAAACAAAGGTCTACACTTACATAACTGATTATGTTCAATCTCCATGCAGACTTAACTGTCAACTTTCATACAACACTATTCATCACAGCATAGCAAATTATTGTATTTCGTATGGGGTAAGACTTCAATGGTAAAATTCTCCAAGCTTCTGCTTACTTATTCATGTTTAGAAGAAAACTCCAGGATTTTTAAAAGTTAACTCTTGCAGTGAGGCTACCCCCACACTGCAAGGTTAAACTGCTCATTTTTCTCAAGGGGAGAAAATAAAGAATACTCACCCTATTCTTGCTCCTGCGGCACCTACCACTCACTTAACTCCCCCGTCTGCTCTGGCTGTGCTATGTCCCTCGGTGTCTTCACGCCTAATAGACCTCTATTAGATGTGATGACATCACAGGTCCTTAAAACTCCAGACCCCACGGGAGAAGAGGCTACCGGGACTGGTCTAGCAGCCAAGCGGAACAAATTATCAAGTAAATGTTTCTTTATTTTCATACCCCCCACCCCCAGACAAAACGAGCACAATACCCATGCAGTGCTGGGGTAGTCACACTGCAAGAGTTAATTTAAAAAAAAAACCTGGAGTTGCACTTTAAAATTATCATTTGTTATTACAAAAACCTTTACAATTATGTCAGCACAACTGAAACCTATTAAAAAGGAAATAATCTTTATTTGGGTTGCAAGGTACTGGCATCCCAAAGTTAGTTTTCACATTCAAAAAGGAACCAAAAACAAAAAAAAAAAAAAACACATGTAGAGCTGCAGTTAATGATTATTTTCAAAATCGATTAGCCGATTAAGTTCGAATAAATCGGATAAAAAAAAAAAAAAAATGCATTTTAAAAAATGGCTCCAGTGATGGGACTACTAGTTTGTATGGAGATTGCAGTCCATCACAGGAGCAAGCTTGGAGCTGTGGAAGTAAATAAGAAAAAAAAAAAGTGTGTGCAATATAGTGAAATGAAGTGTAAAATGATATAGCAATGAATGCAGAAGGGCATCGGGTATAGAGGACTACAAATCCCAGCAATAGTACATTATACAGCACAATGCAGAATACCACCAGCTACAGAGTACAACAAATCCCATCAATATATTATACAGCGCAATGCAGAATACCGCCAGCTATATAGGAATACAACAAATGCCAGCAATACAATATAGCTGGCGGTATTCTGCATTGCGCTGTATAATATATTGATGGGATTTGTTGTACTCTGTAGCTGGTGGTATTCTGCATTGTGCTGTATAATGTACTATTGCTGGGATTTGTAGTCCTCTGTATAATATACAGCACAATGTACCATCAGCTATAGAGGAATACAAATCCCAGCAATACATTATAGAGCACCATGTGGGGGGGGGAGTGCTGGCTTACCTGAACAGTCTTCCAGCAACTTGCTTCTGAGATAGGGCCTATCGTCCCTGTGCCAATCGTGGATGTGGGAAGGCGGAGAGCGTGAGGCAGGGAGGAGGTGCGGTGTGTGGATGCGGGCAGGCAGTGGCGAGCGTGAGGTGGGGGAGGAGGTGCGGTCAGGGCCAGCTAACCAGAAGCCGATTAATCGATGATTGAAAAAGTTGACAACTGATTATGTTGATTAGTTGTTGCAGCCCTAAACACGTGTACAGTTTGGTACAATGAAGGTTTCGCCATGTGTTCACTGCCAACAAACTGAAGATTTCATACAAAAGGTGTCCATTAATGTCGTGTGAGAATAAAGGAAAAACTGGATCTAACCAGGATAGAAAATAAAGCCAGAGGCTCAAACGTGCAACTGCTTAAGAGCAATAGTACATCAGATCTGCAGTTTGCAGAAACAGCAGCCTTAGGGTCCCCACACACCTTACGATTATCGTACGATAATCGTGGGAAATCCCGCGATCGTACGATGATCGTAAGGTGTGTGGAAGCCGTGCGACCTCTACTACTGTAAGGTCGCACGACTTTAAACTTACGGACATGTTTGAAAACCCGCCGAGCATCGTACGATGTTCGGCGGGTTTGTGGCATGTCCGTATGATAACAGCCGCACGGGCCGGTGTGCGCAAGGGCACACTGCCCGTTCGGCATTGCGGTCATCGGAAGCCCGCCCCTCGGGGGGCATGGCTTGCGATCATCGCAAGTACGATCTGCCTATGCAACATAGGCAGATCGTAAGTTTTTTTAAGTACCTTACAACCATCGCAAGACAAAAGTCTTGCGATGGTTGTAAGGTGTGTGCCCAGCCTTAGAGGTGCCTAGTTGGCTGCTTCCTTAAATAGTACATGCCAAATACCAGAGTTGTCTGCAACAGGAAAAAGATGTCTCTGTGATACTGGTCTAAGTTATGAAGACGGCAAATAAAAAAGTTAGACTATGCAAAAAAAAAACAGGCCCTGGACAATGGATGACTGGAGGTTTTGTGAGCAGATAAAGGCTACATGTTTGGCTCAAGGAAGAAAAATCAGAAGATGAAAAGCACATTAGTGCTGCAGCTAACAATTATTTTCATAATCGATTAGTTAGCCGATTATTAACTTCGATTAATTGGATTTAAAAAAATAAAATATGCGGCGATATCCGACATGTGTAGTGCAATCGTCGTATTTCTATGTAGGTGCAACCGACTTGTGTTTGTTAGTATACGTGCATTTGCAGGGTTGGGGTACTCAATTTTTTTGAGTGGGGGGATTTTTAATTTTATTTACATTTTGCTTTTTACCTTATTGCGATCACATGGGGGGGGGCTCACAAGCCCCCCATGTGATGGCACATTGGAGGTGACAGGTTCTCTTTAAGGGGACATTAGGGGTCTTTTAGACCCCTAGTGTCATCTTTCCACTTCACTGGATTCAGCTGCCAAGGCAGCCAAATGTAAATACAGCAGGCAGTGGCTGGGAGCAATAGCCAGCCTGCAATTGCACCACTGCCTGCTGTCAATCAGCAGAGGAGGGAACTGAAAGACTACCGCTGACAGCCGGTCATTAAAGTGACATTAAACCCTCAGATTTTTTTAACATAAAACAATACTGTAATGTGCGCCTTGCTGTAATCCATGGTTATTTCCCTTCTCTTTGCTGCTCTTCCTTTTAAATCTGTATCTCTTCTCATGCTGGGCAGAACTTCTGTTTTGCAGCAGACTGCCTTGTCTCAGGAATGGATACACGGTGTCTTTGTATAGGCTTGTAACCTGAGCCAGCACTACAGGAAGAGACCCTGAGCTGAAAAGGGAAGTTCTCCCCAAGCATGAGAAGACATGAGGATTTAAAAGGAAGAGCGGCAAAGAGAAGGGAAACAACCATGGATTACAGTAAGACGCACATTACAGTATTGGTTTATGTTAAAAAAATCTGAGGGTTTAACGTCACTTTAACTAGAACGGGCACAGTGGCCGCATCTGAACAGGCATACCTGGTATTTCTGCCACAAGAATCCGTTGGTTTTTGCTGCAGGAATCCACAGCCTTAAGCTCCTGTGAATGGATAGAGCTAGAATGCTAAAGGTCTGTAGAGCTGCTGCACATTGAGGATAGCAATATTTGATCAATAGTACAGCTGTGACAAGAACCTGTGGATTCTTGTAGCAGGAACCCCTGGTGGGTTTGTACTAGGGATGCCCCGATATATCGGCCGAAAATTGCACTTTTGGCTAAATGCCGAAAGTGCCATTTTCCTGCCGATACATCGGCACATTCAAGGTTTCTTGCCTCCCCGTTGGGCACTGCCCTGTGCCCCAGCGGGGAGGAAAGTGACAGCAGGCCGAGCGCTGTGAGCGGCCGGCGTCTCTCCTCCCACAACGCTCAGCCGCCTATCACAGTCCGGCAGAGTGGCGTGTGGGCGGACACAGCCTGCGCTGTCACAGGAGGCTGAGCTCCACTCGCTCAGCCTCCTGTGACAGCGTGCCAGAGAGAGGAGAGCAAGGTACAAACACTCAGCGATCGCTGAGTGTTTGTACATAATTGAGGACATGGTATGTGTACTATATCCTCAATTATGAATGAATGGGAGTGATCTACATCAGCTCCTGTCCATTCATAGTTATAGTAAATATACCATGTTCTCAAGTAATGAATGAACAGGAAAACTAAGAGGATTCCTTTTCATTGATAACAGGGGATACAGAAAGAGATTGGGGACTCTGTGCGTCTCAATTTATTTTTCTATTTTAAAAGGGGAAATATCAGGGGTCTGTTTAGCCCCCTAAGATTTCTCTGAAGCCCCTAAAATTAAAGTAAAAAATATTTCATAAAAAGTGAATAAAAATATTAAAAAAAAGTTTCTAAGAAATAAAGATTTTCGGTCTGACAATTTTTTTAAATTTCGGTTTCTTTTTTTAAATTTCTATTTCGGTGCACCTCTAGTTTGTACAGATGGGGCAGCTCTGCCAGTTTAAGTGAAGGACAGGCAGCTGTTGCCAGCCTGCCGCTCACTTGACCGGGCACTCTGGCCGCATCTGTATGTACCCTCTTGGGATCCCTGCCACAAGAAAGCACGGGTTCTTGCCGCAGGAATCCTCAGCCCCAGCTTCTAGCCTCGTGTGCATGGGGCCTCCTGCATAGAAGGCAATTTCCTCAATCCTTGAATATAACCTTTTTACTGTTTTCAAAATAACAAAAATTAGAAAAGGAACTGAAATCATATAGGCCTGATATTTAGACAATGTGAAAACACGAGATGTCTGCAAAACATGCTCCGGCGCATAACCCCCTCACACCTACTGTCCATTTAACAAATAAATTTATGAATTCTAAATAATTTATACTACACAACAAACGCCAACTACTCATACTGAAATACTTACTGATAATCTCCTGGACAAGGTTTCAGTTCAGAAACGCATATCTGACTTTCATTATAATAATGGATGTCAAAATATTTAACAATCTTTCCAGTTGTTTTACAACATACAAACAAGTGACATTTTACTTGAGGATATTGCTTACAAATGTCCTATAATCATGTTTCCAAGTTCAAGCACCTGAAAGAGAAATAAGCCATGCATTTCATTTACAGTTGTCCTATAGTGGCACTATGCTCTGGAAAGGTATGATAGAAATCGAGTACATGGACCTGTCATGGCCTACATTTTTTAAAAGGTGACAAGTACAGTTACCTTGTAATGCCTGCAGGTCCCTGTGTTGACATCCCTGTGAAGCCCCTTGGATAAAATAACTTACCCAACCCAGGCTGCAGGTGGTACATGGACTTCTCCCCAACTGTCAAATGAGAGAGCTTCAGTAGACAGTGGAGCAGCAAGGCTGTCGTTGGGGAGGGCGGTGTGATTTGCTGAGTATGTGAGGGTCTGGGTGCTTGTGATGTGGTGGTGCAGTGCGATGCACTATTTATTTTTTTAACTTGCGCTCCATTCAGGTCTCCGCACAGCAGTGTGGTCTGTTGTACTACAGTGATCACCGGTTTCATTTTTCCACACCACACCAGAGTTGAAGTGTTCATAGGAAACATAGCCCGTTCACATACTTATGTACCGCCACACAACCCCGAATGCAGACCATCTGCCATAAGATGGGCACCACTGTTGCCCGGGGAAGAAAAGCTCACACACATGGATGCCTGTGGCCTTACAACGTGAATTCTGACATATTTCCCCCACCAGGGAGCCACATACGGCCTCCAATAAGAGTCAATGGCGGTACACAGGGAATAGCCTGGATTTGGGTATACATGTACACAGTCTCCATCCGAGTGTGTACACCCATACACATGCGGGTGTTGACTCAAGCCCAGCTTATACCTGGGAGCAGCCATTAACTATTATGTGAGGCTATACAGCACCTATGGGGAAAATACACCGCAATATGCATTGACCAGCCACGTGCATGAACCCTTATTTCCCAACAGGCACACAGTATGGCATACGGCCTGCTTTTGGGGATGTGCACTAGGGTTGCAACAACTAATCAATTCTAAATCTATGAGAATCGTTGGCAACGATTCTCACCATCGATTAGTTGCTGCCGCTCTGCTCCTCTGTTCTCCTCCCTGCTGGTGCCGGCTGCAGCGGTCTGTGTGCTTGTCAATCCCCCCCTGTATCGGCAGAGGCAGCGGGGACACAGACCACTGCAGCCGGCACCAGTGGGGAGGAGAGACCGCTGTGACTCTGCAATCCCCCTTCCCCCACTGCTGTTCCCTTCTTCTGTCCACCCCGTTCCTCCTCTGCTCCCCCATGCCCCCTCTTCTGCCGGTGTTCTATCAATCCCTCGGACTCAAGTCCGAGGGATCGATAGAAAACCGGCATCAAATCTCACATCAGCGGCTGGAAACATTAGCCAGCCTGCTCGTGGATATTTTAAACTGCAATAGCCAATAGCAGGCTGGCTATTGCACCTGCCCACTACCTGCTATCAGCAGAGGAGAACCTGATGGAGAACTTTCCCCTTCAGTTCCCTCCTCTGCTGATTGACTATTGCAATTTAAAACCACCAACAGGCTGGCTATTGCTCCAAGCGAAAAGATGTCAGTAGAGGTCTGAAAAACCCTAATGCCACCTTAGAGAAATTGCCACCTCCGATGTGCCATCACATAGGGGACATCTGAGCCCCCCCCCCATGTGATAGCAATGAAAAATTGAAAGTCCCCCAACTCTACAAACACGCGCATGCTAACGGAAACACAAGTCGGGTGCGCCTACATAGAAAACAGACGATTGCGCTATACAGGTCAGGTATTGCTGCGTATTTTATTTAAAATTAAGGATGTTTTTTTTTTATCAGATTAAAAATTATCAAAGTTAATTGACTAATCGATTATGAAAATAATCGTTAGCTGCAGCCCTCATGTGCACCCTTATGCATGCATTCACACAAGTCTGGCGTATACCTTCAAAGCCATTGATTTTTATGGAAGGCTATATGCAGCCCCCCGTGGATCACGCCAAAATTGACACTGTACGGCCACAGGTGACCGTGTGCATGAGCCCTTATAGCAGACGCACAGTTTATGGCAGGCAGCCTACAGTTGGGGTTGTGCGCCCATCCGCATGTGTTTACACGCATACAAACGTTGACTTCCATAGGAGTCTGTACGCAGCTCATTGGCGGGGGAAATACGCCGCAATTTACATTGTACAGCCATAGGCGGCCATTTGCATGAGCCCTTCTTTCCATGCCAGTGCACACTTACCCTCAGTACCAATACAGCTAATGACTCTTGTGGGTGCGAAAATACACCAGAATTTACACTGCACAACTCCAAGCGGCCGTGTGCACCATCCTTTAATTCCTGGGAAAGGTGACAACGGTAGGTGGACATATTGACTGAAATGACAAGTTTACCCATCACAACATCTCATAAGGCCAGGCCTGTGTGACAGAATATCTAATTACTACTTCGCTGCTTTCATCCCCTTATTCTCAATAGCTTTGTATGCCCAATGGGGGAGCCCTCGGCCATAGCGCCTTACCCCGGGCTGATCTCAGACTGCCCACGTGACCAAGGCTCCGGGCCCCGGACAAAACAGGCGGGCCGTATAGGAGCAATGCCAGTGCTCATCTTAGCACCCCGGGGGATATGCCTAGAGCCGCCGGCACGGATACACACACACACACACTACAAACAATAATGAACGCAGATCTGCGGTGGCGGATTCCACAGCGACTCATAGCAGTGCCCTGCGCTCACCCCTCGTCATCCTCGGCTTTGCTGGCGTTAATCTTGTTGCCTTCGCTGGGTGCGACGCCCTCGGCTTCGGCTTCGGCCTCGGCCTCGGCCTCAGCCTCGCTGACGGAGGCCTCCATCGTGGTTTCGTCTTTCATATCCTCCTCGGCCAACATAACTAGCTAAAAACAATGGCGGGCAGCTGCAGAAGGAAAGGCGGATAATGGCGGTTCCCCCGGCTCTGTGCCACGCCTCCTATGGAACCTGGCACCGCCTCTCCGCTCCCACTAATGGCGGCGCTACGGAGAAAGCCTGAAATGGCCGCTAGGGATAAGGCGTCCCGGCTGTTGTCAGCACCATCCTTTGCACAGGCCATGGAGCTCCTGTACTTTGGTTAATGTTGACAACCAGGAGTGGCTCCAGGGCCAATACAAGCTGACTACAAGGCTCTCCAGGGACATTCAAAATGGACCCAGTGCAGGGATTCCAATGAGCTTATGGTCCAAAACGGGTAGGCGCCATCTGTGGTGAAACTACAAATCCCATGAGGCATTGCAAGACTCTCACAGCACAGGCATGTCTCCCAGGGCCAGATACATGATGGGATTTGTAGGTTCACCACAGCTAGCATGCCAAGGTTGCCTACCCCAAGGTCTAAACTAAGGACCAGAGCCAAAATCGCTGCAGAGGTAGCCATTCATTTTACAGTCTAGAATATTGACCCCTAAGGGCTTGTTAACACAAGCCACCCTGGACAGTGTTGCCCACAGCAGGCCCACCATATAGATAAAGGCAGTTTGCTTTGTGTGCTGAAATAAAGGTTGCTTTTTTAGGCAGCGTGTTGCCACGCACTACTCCGCGCCGGTGCATGAAATAAAATTTTCTGACATTTCAATAAACAGATACGTTGTTCTAACACAATGCACAGAGTATAGCATGCACCGGCCGGGCTGAACGGGCCCTCAGGGCCTCCTGACACTGTAATTGATGCATTGTGTTAAGGAATGTGTATTATATATTCATCGAAAATGGGCTGCCGATGTGCCACAACGCATCCTGAAATCAGACATGACTTGTATTTTCTAGCAGCACACCACAACGCACACAGAATGTGTATTGTGATAAGCTGCAGGGTGCGTTGCCTGCTACTGTTTGAGTACGTTAGGGTACCATTCAAAATGAATTGCACGCAATGTGTGGTAAAAGGCATTACAGCAATGCGTAAGGCTGGGTTCACACCAGGTGCATGCTGCAAAGGTCTATGCATGTGGCTGGCCGGTGGCAGTGTGGTGCGTTGCAATATGTTGTTAAAACTCGAGGCTCCGTTAACTTAATTTTTTTTTATAACTTCATTAGCAATCTACAGTCCCATTCAGGTCTCCACCAGCAGTGGGGTGTGCTGCAGAGATCTCCGGGGCCATCCAGGGCGCTGTGGGAAATTGCAGCATGTCTGCATCTGCATTTTTTCTGACCGCACATCACACCAGCATTGTGGTGTATATGGGGCACATAAAAAAAACAAAACATTATTTTCTCTGTGCCCTTGTGGTGACTGCTGTTGATCCAGTGTGGAAAAATGCCAGTCACCGTGACTGGTGTAAATGAGCCCCTAAAATGTTGCCCCCATCTTACTACAATATGCAAAAACACCGTACTGATAAAAGCATAATATTTTTACAGGCACGTGCATGAGCCCTTAGAAACACATGAGGTCAGATCAGGTTTACTTTCATAAACAATGTGGCATTTTATTTATGTTTGAAATTATATCAATGAAATGTATTATATGAAACAATTCCTCCCCACACAGCTACCTCCTCATATATCACTGGCCCCTCCCTTTTAGATTGTAAGCCCTCCTTACTATCTTGTCTTGAATTGTATTGTGATTGCAATGTCTTCCTTATATTGTAAAGCGCTGCGCAAACTGTTGGCGCTATATAAATACTGTATAATAATAATAAAATGAAAGTATACGGATGGGCATTTGGCAGCCTTCTGTGTCCCGTTTTTTTTGTGGTAGCATCTGCTATTGTATTTGCCTACAGATCATGCCAAAACTTTGTATTCTATGGCGAATAGCCAACTGCTCACACACATGGGACAGCTGTCATCAGATACCTGAACTTTCAACAGACTTGGGTATCAAATCACTTCCAGTGCCCTATTTCTGCCTTACATTACAGAATAGATAAGAGTCTGCTTTTCTGACATGGAAAGAGGGACATCTTTTTTTTAAATGTTTATTAGAAGGCACACCTCTAGCACTTACTCCCAGTGTTTTGGGCCATAACCCCTTCACGGCCCATAACGAGATAATACCGTCATGAAGTCTGAAGGGATTAAACAGACTCCCGGCGGCTTTACAGTTGAAGCGATTCTGGCGGCTCAGCTGCTGCCAGATCGCTTCTATGATCCATTAACCAGGCTGCCCCTGTGCCCAACACCCCCGTCTTGTTTCCTGGGATCCGCTGCCCCTCCTATGGGCCCAGGACCGGCTTGCCGGGTGTCGGCTGGGAAGGAGATTGGTGAACGTCCGCTCACCGATTTCCTTTCTGTACTATGACCGGGAGCGACGCGTATTGCATCACTTCCGGTCCCATAGCTGTCATTGCTGGGCTCCTGAAGCCCAGCAATAAGCTATTGAAGTGTGATCTGCACTTCAATAGCTTATTTTAGAGTGTAAAGGTGATACTAGGACTTGGACCCCCAGCATCACCTTAAAGAGTACCTGCCACTGCCAATATGCTATCACATGGAGGCTTGTAAGACCCCATATGTGATAGCAATTAAAGTAAAAAAAAAAAAGAAATACAGTTTTAAAAATAATATTAGATATAGCTGTAGCTCGCGGTATATTTAGCTTAGGGTGACGGGAGGGCGCTAGTTTGTGTCCTCCCGTTACCCTAGGAGAACTATGGGTAAAAGCCCTAACCCCATAGTTCTCCTTTAAAAAAATGTTTTAAAGTCCCCCGCCCCAGCGAGCATGAGCTTCATCACGTAAACACGCATCAGGTGCACCCACGTATGAAAATGACGATCGTGAAGGTTAAACATCGATTTGCTCGGTTTAACCTCATCTTTTATATTTTACAATAACAATGGTTTTATATTGTGTTTTGTGGCAAAATTTTTACTAAAGTTTTGGGTTTGATAATAAGTTACGCTAACATTGTGCAACATAAAAATTTGCAACTGTCGACATTTTATTCTATAGGGTCTTGGATTTCACAAATGTTTGGGGGGTTTTAAGTAATTTTCAGCCTAAAATGTTGATTATAACATGGTTGCAAAAAATGAAGAAAAAAAAAAAGGCCTATGTCCTTAAGGGGTTAAATACTTTATAATCTGCTAAACCTGCAGATGCTTTTGTCACCACTTTTCCTTCATACTAGAATTTTGGAATTAATGCAATATTTCAAAGGCTGGAAGAAAAGTTTAGTGCAAGCTGACATTTATGTTAAATTGTATATTTACTGTATTTATAGCAGTCTAAACATCAGAGCAAATAGAAGGAGAAATGAGGAGCAGATAGAGACAGAGGGATTTGGTTTCATAAGAACCACAGTTGGGAGCTACACTGCTGCATGGAAATAGTTTCCATGGCACTTTCCTGCTAAGTCAAAGCCAATATTGACTGAGGAGCAAAGTTAGCTAAAGTCTGTGAACACTGCAGGTTTCTAGTCTCACCTTCCTGTTGCTATATATTAAAGGAGAACTATGGGGTTAAGGCTTTTCCCCATAGTTCTCCTTAGGGTAACGGGAGGACACAAACTAGCATCCTCCCGTCACCCTAGGCTCAGTATACCGCAAGCTGTAGCTGTAGCTCGCGGTATACTGAGACGCCGCAGCTGAAGCGGATCCCGACAATTATGCCGGGATCCGCCCAGCTGCGTGACTGACAGCTGGCTCTGCCTATCTAGAGGAAAATGTAAAATACAAAAATGATCACTTTAATGCACTGGGGTTTTTTTCACTGCTACTCTTCCTTTGAGATAACATGTAACATACTCTTCCATTAACATATAGGCCCCATTCACACTTGCAAATGGGGCAGATTGCATGGGTCTCACGATTTCCTCCATGAGACTCATGTTCTGCTGCATCCAGGTGTGGTCGTCTGCAGGTACGTAGCATGTGCAATTACATAGGAATGGCCTGCAAACAGCTGCAGGCCGTGATAGCTGTGATTGTATTGTACAGCGCCTCCCACCCGCAGCAGATCGCACAAGTGTCACGGAGGAATTCGTAAGACTTATGTGATCAGTCCCACTCTAAAAAGTGAATAACTGATGCAATAACCTGAAGAATAGATGAAAAGTTTAGTGCAATATAAACAGTGTGTGTCCAAGGGCGATCATCTGCATTTATTATGTGAATGGCTACGAACAGCAGCTCACATACAGTATTTCTCATGAAGCAATTTGCGATTGTGAATAGAGCCTAAAGGTCAGTTAGGAGCAATAGGAGTGGAATTTTGGTTTCTCTTTCTTGAGACTTCCTCACCCAAAGCCACTCATTGCTAATGTCCACTACAGCGTCCCCATAAACATTCTCTAGCCGATTATGGATTTCCTTAGGTGCATAACACTCCTTGGCCAGAAATGTAATTACAGCTCATTGTTTTAGCCGCAGATCCATGGTTCTAATCACTCGATCTGCCAAAAAAAGCATTGGTACATGAACATTCACAGTCACTGTAATAGATCTCAAATTAAAAACATGGAGGCATTACTTTTTGATTGACCTGCACATATACTGCATATATATATACAGTATATATATATATATATATATATATA